CCCTAGTACCTGATTTTCTTTGACAGAAGAGGATTATTGGAAAAACAAAAAACCCAAACCCACTCTGCACAAAGGGAATTTGTGGTCCTCCTGTAGTGGTACTGGTGCAGATGGGCTGCAGCTATATGTGGGTGCTGCTGGATCGCAAAATTATGTCCTTAAATTGGAGCAAATGCTCCCCATGCAGGTGGGATCATTAGTACCCTTTCTGCTTTGCGAGCTCCAAGGGTCGTTTCTAAAAATGCATTGTATCCACATAACATTTGGTTTGGAAATCCTCTCACACCCTCTGCGTCCTGTAACAAGATGTCAGCCTGTGCAGGCTTCTCTCCAGGACCTTCAAACCCCCGTGTTTCACATGTTAGCTCCTCCTGCCTACCTGGGACCTAAGCAAACTGCTAATTGTTGTGCAGATGTCATCTTCCAGGCAGGCATGAGGTTGTAGGCTTTCAGGAGGCTGTACTGTCATTTGCTACCAGCCTTCGCTGTACACGTGAGCTCTATTTTTATGGGAGTGTGTGTTTTCTTTCAGCCGCAGCTTTGTTGAATTTCTTTTTCTTCTTTTCCCTTTTTATTTCCAGGTTTGCAGGTAAAGTTTTAGGGATACATCTATTTTTCATTATCCCAGTTTTGCCACTTCTTTTATAACTGAAAAGAAAAAAAACCCAAACCTGTTTCCTATGTAAAAAGCAGTAGTTTGTTCCAAGGTGAGTCGAGGGGAGGACTGTATGTCTTGGTCGGTCTGAGATTGAGGTCCTGACTGTGGCATTGGCCAGAAGGATGCATTGATCTTCTGGGAGCGAGAGCAGATGGAGTTTGAGCCCATGAACTCTGCTTTCCAGATCAGGAGCCTGGGTGTTAGTTGTAGCCTGGTTGCACTTAACAGTGCCCCAGGAGAGAGATGGAGGCTTTGGCCACAGGTGGTCTTTGCTGGTCTTCTGAAAATGGAGAGCTTTTCTTCTACTCCAGTTGTAGTTTAATAAGGGCTTGTGGGTCCTTGAGGTGCTTCTTTGACTCTTTAGAAAAGAGGAGGACATCAAAGGAGGCTATCAAGCAGCAGGTCAGAAATGCAAGGTGGTACTTCCATGTGTGCTGTGAATTAAGCAGTAGAACTCACTGCTGAGTTGCAGTGGGTGTCAGAAGGCCAGATCAGCTCCAAAAGTAATTAATTGGAAAAACAAAAATCTAGTCGAGCTGGATTTGAGCTCAAAGATACAGTTTGCTGTTCAGGAAGACCCTGGGTTAGGAGTTTCTGGAAGACGCGGAAGTGCATCAGAGGTGTTACTGTTAGTGCTTTTTCCTAGATGTCTACCGATGACCATCGTGATGTGGTGTTTTGCCTTTTATTTTCTCTTTTTGGCTAAAGCAAAAACCAAGCAGGAAGACAAGGAAGTAACATAATGGAGACGGGAAACAAGATAGCAGTAAAGGAGTGGAAGGAGAGGACTCCACTCCTTTTGTGTCCACAAAGTTTTTTGGTGGGAGAGGTCCTCTGGTGGCAGGAGTTGGTGTGCCTGTGAGTCTATTTTTCTGCTTTGTGGGATAGAAGATGGTTGCTTCAGGGAAGGAAAAAATCTGCAATGTGATGTGCCATCCTGATGGACAACAGAGACGGAAAGAAAGATATTTAGGACTGCATGTATGGGAGGAAATTCTTTAAAACCTGGATAGAGTAGGAGCAGACTTGATGGAGGGATGAGTAATGAAGGAGTGTTTGAACGGAACTAATCAGTCCCATCTTCTTTCAAAAGACCTCATTTAGTTTAATTTAGCAGCGTGTAAATTTAGAGCCAATCAAAGGAAATACTTCTCCAGCCTGTGTGCCGGCAGGCTGCTCCGTTCCCTACCCCAGTGTGACAAGCAGCGAGCTGAAGGCTGTAGGTGGGTTTAAAGCCTTGTGTTGTGAGGCAGTGGGGGCACGCGCGAGTGTGGTTACACACGAGCTCCCTGCCAGTCTGACTGGCAGCCACAGGAGCAGGACCCTTCTTTCTTTCCCCCTCTCTTGTTCAGTAGGCTGTCTGTTGGTCGGTCGGGGGGGCTGTGTGCCACGGGACTGCCTCGTGGTCCACTGCAAGTGTGGGCAGAGCCGGCTCCTGGGCTCACAGTTTGGGTGAGCCGGTGCTCTGAGCAGTGGGGAAAGCCTGGCGCTGTAGGAACCACCAAGTAAACCTTGTTGACCTCTGCAAAATGTTGTTTTCCTCAAGAAAAACCTACATACGGATTTAGATAAACCCCTGATCCTTTGATGGCTGGTAGTTTTGTTTAATGTGAATTAATGCAGCTACTTCTGTGCTTAAAATGAGGCACAGGCATAAAAAGCCTTCGTAGGATAGCACTGATTTTTATTTTTTCCCCTGTAGTTGTTGTCCATGGCATTAACACAGTGGTTTTAAACAAGACTTGCAGGTCTCTTCATATTTTCCAGGAGAGATACAAGCCCCTGTGGGGTCAATATAAGCTACTTTGTTGTTACCTGACGTAAACTCCATTAACAGGAAAATTGGCTGCCACCGATGAGACCCATGCACTAACACCTCGAGGTGTTCTGTGTTCTGTGGTGTCGCACCCCTGAACCTGTGCTGTGTTGCAAAATATTGTGTAAAGAATGCTGAAACCTGTGAAAATGTGGACTAAAATATTGATGGGTTTGTTTTCCTTTGCATTTCAGGTTGGTGGCAATGTCTCACTGGGCCGGTCTCCTCTCCACCGCTGCCAAAGTCAACCTGCTGGTCTTGGTGGTTTGTGCAGTGTTTTCGTGGTCAAGCCTAAGCGACAGAGTTCCCGTAAGTGGTGGCTGCTCTGGCTGAGCTGCGCTCGCAAAGGGCTGTCCAGCCACCGGAGTCTCTGGTGGAGCGACAGCCTTACCTGATCCCTCTGTAGGGCCAAAGAAGGGTGTTGCAGCGGTTGGTGAATCACCTCTTCTCGACACTGGGTCTTCAATAACAACATTTCAGAAGGGCTTCTTTCTTAAGACTGCTTGCCTCACTGCAGGAAATCCAGAATATGCTCAATCCAGAGGGTTTGCAACATGAACGTTGCAACTCAGGCAGGTCTTGTTTGCTAGATGTCACTTTTTCTATTTGGAGTTGTCACAACTTCCCCCCGTGGCAAAGCTGATTGTGCGGTCTAGTGGCAAGAAGAGGGGAAGAGGTGGCCTCAATTAGGTTCCTAGCTGTGCCTCTGTTGAGTCACTGCAAGTGAGTCAGGCTTAGAAGAGCATCCTCTCAGGTCCTTGCATGCCATGTGCATGCGTTTTGCTACTTGCGGTGTTACTCAGAAGCTGCAGTTGAGGTGAGTGGATGCTGTCTGCCCCTTTGCACTTGTACAGGTGTGCAGAACTCCCCTGGTTTGGATTCTGCTGCTGAGCCCCAGGTGCCTGCCAGGCCCCGCTAGATTAGCAGATCTGGAAAGCTTCCTTGAGGGAGGTCGAACAGTAGAGAGTGGTGGTTTTTTAGTTTAATTAATGCTATGGCTTAAAACAGGGCGTCCCCCAGCAACACCGGTGTAAGGGATCACCGGCCACCCCGTGTCCCTGGACACTCACTCCTACCTTTGCATTGCAGCTTGCTGGTCTGTTGGTTGTGTGATGCAGCTGCCTGGGGGCTGTGCTGTTACCCAGAGCAAACACAAGCGACAGATTACAGTATAAGCACTGTGGGCCAGTGCCTGGGGCCCACCTGGAGTCATGTATCATAGAATGTTTTGGGTTGGAAGGGACCCCTAGAGGTCATCTAGTCCAACCTCCCCACAGTGAGCAGGGACACCGCTAACTAGACCAGGTAACTAGATCACCGCTAACTAGATCAGACGTAATGATGAGATAATTTGTCTTTACTTCAGGGAGGAAGGGGAAGAGGCTGGAGATAGAGCACAGTCATCCCAGCTGGAGAATAAGCCCTGGGACAGCCACACGGTGATACGTGCCTGAATTGGCAGGTTCAGACAGGATTAATGTGATGGGTGGTTAACTCTCCCATCACCTTTTCCTGCACTCCCCCTACAATGGCTCCGTGACGGCCACGTCCCTCCTTTATTGCAAACAGACTGCAGATTGTCTCAAACCCTCCCTGCTGAGGCTTTTCAGCTTATTGCAGTTATTTCAGAGTGACAAAGCAAGGAGGCTTTTTGCCTTTCAGGAAATTTCCATTGTTCTTTAGAAAACATCTTTCTTTCTACTATTTTAATTATGAAAACAAACCGAAAAAGGATCCTACCTAATTTCTGCGTAAATGAAGGCTCGCTTGTGTGTTGTTGCCCATTTTTGCCAGAAATGCTAATGAAAACGGGGTATTGCAAAGCAATTGTGGGCCAAGCAGTGGCAGTAACGTTTAAATGAACCAAGTTGCTTCCTTTTACCCTTACCGAACATTCAGACCACGGCACTTCTCTTGAGCAGAGCCGGTAAACATCAGCCATCTCCATTATGTGTTTCAACAGATACAACACTCGGAAGCCTGTTGGTAAATTTACAACGGCTAAGTCCCTCTTGGATAATAATATAGCAGCGTAAATAAGCTAAGTAATAACTGCTCTGTCTCATTTATTTTAGTCCTGTTGAGTCTTGGCTCAGAAAATGTTAACATTGATTTTCATCAGTAGAACCTGGCTTTTTATGTTTATGGTTGTTACTGAGCTTTAACCATTTGTCATAGTTTTAACAATTTCAAGCCTCTGATGCGCTAAGCGAAAGCAGGAGTTAAGCTCTGTTTTCCGGCCCATTTCCAAAATTTCAATCCCTTTTGACAGATAAAATAAAAACATTCTATAGGTTTGTCAACCATCTTCACGTGTTGCTGCTGTCGTTGCTAACTGTACGTGTTTGGCTCAGGCTGACATTTCTCTTGCTCAGAAACACTCTCCTAGGCTGGATAATGGATATTTATATGCAAAGCACCCAGATTCTGCCAGAAAATATGCATGCATTTTTTCTAAGAAGTGGAAGAAGTGAAGGCAGAACATGGCCTAAGATTTTCAGTTAACCTCTTAATTGACTTCTTTTTTTTCCCTGTGAAAATGTTCTAAGGTTTAATATCAAAACACTTCATGAACTGAGCTGTAACTCTTATTCTAATTGCCAACAATTAGGAATAATCTTTCCCAATAGGCTGGTTATTTGAAATTGTTCGGTGGTGGTGTCCTTGGCGATATCAGAAGCTGATAATACTCCCTGCAACAGCAACCGAGCTGTCTGGACGAATAGCCTGGACCAGCTTATCTGTTCCTGTGAAAACCAGAATAGCAAAGACCTGCTTCCCGAGCAGTTAATAGCCGCGTGTGAGATAGTACGAGGTCGTTACCTACTACTCACTCTCAATAATTTTACCCGTTGCAGTTTTAAGTGACTCCCACCAGCTCCCTAGGGAGAATTCCCAGTGAACAGTGAGGTTTCCCTCGCAGCAAGGATTTTTTTCCTGCTTTTCGTCCTCGTTTTTTCCTTTGCATAATGTCGTACCGCTCGTGCTAGCTGATCTACCACATCTCTGCCATTCGCGTGCTGCACTTGCAACGTAGGTGGCGATTAAATCGCTGCCTCATTGTTTTAAAAGACTTGGAGGACACCAGGAACGGGTAAAGAAAAGGATGCTCACATTCTTATTGTGTGGGCAATTCGGTGTGTTTTCCCCGCGTCCTATTTTGGAAATAACCGAACTATTTTAGCTGAAATCTTCTCCAAGCCTGGAATAAGTGCATTTAAGGAAAAGGAAAAAAAGAAAAACCAAACGCTTGAGGCGTTCCACTCGTGTGGAAAATTTCAGCTGAAAAAGTTAAAAGTTTGACATATTTTTAGGCAGCGGAAAACAGGGTTTTACAACGTTACACAACCCTAATAATAGCCAGGGCTCCTGGCTCTGAGTGTAATGTAGGTGAGGCTCTGCAAAAGCTTGTTTTAAACCTGCAGCCTGCACTGGAATAGGAAATAAGCTGTGCTGCTTTGTTCAGCACAAATGTCATGCTAGTTATGCATGTTTAACCTTTAATATACTTTAAATCTAAATTTAACCATGTGGAAAGAATCTCGGATGTCAAAAAAAAAAAAAAAATCTGCTGGCGAGGGAAAAAAATTTTGTATTCTCAGCCAGCACTAAATTGCCCAGATGCAATTGCTAATGAGCTGAATCTCTTCTATCCGAAAGGAGTTTGCCCTTACAAAAATAGAAGAGAGCGACACAGAAGATGACAACGGGAAAGAGCTGATAACAGAAGCTGATGCTGATCCTGAAGACCTGGAAGTGTTTTACCCCACACATCAGTGGCAAACCATCCGTCCAGGTAACATGCTGATGACTAATTACAGCATCCCACTGACAGCACAGACAGAAGCCTTGCAGAAACCCAAAATACCTGTTTGTTCCCATGACAATGTGTTCTTTTGCTGGTGTTCAAAGAGGCATGGACCCAATGACCCAGTACTGGGACAGGAGACTGAACTGGCTGGCGATGGGAGTGGTTGCTAAAGTGCTTTCAGTTCACTGGAGCAGGTCGAGTGGGCTGCTGGTCACATTTGCAGGTGGTGACGTGTCTCTGTCACTAGCTCAGAAGCCATTTCTCCCTTTGTACGCTTGTCAAGGGACAGATTTTATAACATTTGTTGGCACACGGTATCCTAGGTTTGCTGTGCTCCAGTGTGGGCTGGTGAAACGCTGCTCAGTGGCAATCTGATTAAGAACCGTCAGTGTAACATTACACAGCTTTTTAACAATGGATTTGCTGTTCTTTGGCTGTTTGAAATCCAGCTTTTATCCTTATCCGTACATCCCACAAAAATCCCTCTTTTTGGGGGTTGGTATCTTTGATTAGATGTGTGTGGGACACGTATGGTGAGAAAACACCAACTGAGCAGGCTGGCTTTGCTGCCAAAACCCTTGTGCTGGGAAGGGCTCTGGAGTGGATAAGCCCATTTAAACACAAGCACAGATGCATGTGCGCACACGTATTTCGGCAATTAGGATGATCAGTAAGCCTGCCTCTGGGATCTTGGACAAGGTATTTAATCCACTTGTGCTTTGGTGTCCTCATGTATATGCAGGTGTAATACCTTCCCACCTCAGAAGGGTGAACTAAGTAGTAATTAATTTTTATAAAGTACTCTGAATTTAAAAGAGCTTTATCCTATGCTCAGTATTATCATTGAATGAATAAATATGGGATCCATTTGTCTTGAAATTTCTGCCAGATATAGCAGAATAACTTTTCCAAATGTAAATCCTTGTACAACATAAATGTCTAGCGAAAGCCCCTAAATTTCACAAAGCTGCAGTATATACTCATATTCCATTTTTGTATCATTATGTATGGCAGGCGCGTGGTGTCCCTGCTCAGTATTCAGGCTGGCAAATCCCCACTACCCTTGTTGAAGCAGAATATGTATATACTTGCAGTCATTACAAACGTCATTGCCGGGTTTGTTCAGAAGCACCTTCTCCGTTGCTCAGGTGTCTTGTTCCGCTTTATTTTTGTAGCAATGCCATGTTGGGCATGTGCAGTGAAGGGCTTGGGAAGTGGGGAGCTTGTTAGCGTTCACAGAGGGGAAGAATTTCAATTACTCTTGTAAAAGGCTTAAGTGGTGGCCTGCCTCATTGTCTAGCCGCTATGGATCCTCGTTTCAGGTGTGCATGCAGATTTGGGTAGAAACATGTCAAAAAGAGGAGTCTTCCTTGGTCTCCCCCTGCCAGCCTGGGTTTTTTGTCTCCTGTAGGTTTCTCTGAAGCAAAATCTTGCGCGTGGACTGTGACTCACACTTTTAGCACATGTATTACCCCAAAGCATGGCTGGGGAACCTGCTACCACCACGAGCCCATCCCTGTGGCCTCTTGCCTCAAGGGTTTCCCCCTTGCTATCATGGGTCCGTGCTGGGGAGGGTGTTGACCCGCAGGACGAGGGAGCAGCCAGCGTGGCTGCAGGAGGGATGTGCCTTTTGGTCCTTTAGCAGACGTGCGCATGTTGGCAGCCTGTCTAATCCAGTGGTTCTGCATCTTCCGATGTTTTCTGATGTGATTTCACTCGCTCGTAGCTGAGCAGAGTCCTGGCTGGGCTGGCTGGTGCGTGCTCGGCACAGGCCAAAGTGAACCACAGCTCAATGCACGGAAGTTTGCTTTCTGCTGTCTGGGATGACCCCACGCCATCTTCCATTGTATCCCTGCAGCAAACGGGGCCAGTCTCTCCTAGGGAATCAAATGTATTGATTTAAAATCTGGATCTTCAATTTTAAATGGTGGAAGGGTGCTCAGGGTTGCATTTTCCCCCATTGCATGCCTGTTTCATCTTGTTCCTTTTCTGAGCTCAACACTTTTTATTCTTCTGTCCGGTCCTGCAGTTCCTCATCTTTTATACATGTATTTCCAGTTTTACTCTGCTGTTTTTCTAGTTCCCTGTTGCTAATTGCATCAAACCACGCTTCCGCTGAGACTGCAGCAGTGTCATCAACCTGTAACCTGTCAAATCCCTCCACCTAATTCAATTGTTATTGTATATGTAAGCGCTGCTTTGTGCGGTTGTTCCCTTGCTGCCTACAATGTGAGCTGGATTTTGATCAAGTGCTTTCTTGCACTTTGAGCACGCTTCAAGCTGCTGGAGGTAGCTGGATGCAAACAGGGAGAGACAGTTACCCTAAGAGCTCTGCCGCCTGTAATCTGGAAGCAAGGAGATCAGTTGTCTCTTCTGCCAGCCAGCTGGGAAGATGATGGACTGTAGAAAGGTTGGTGAAACTTCACAAAGTCCTTTAACGCTTTTTTAGGCATTCACTTCTTTCTCATTCAGCACTAAATAATGCACCAGGTAGGGCTGGGTTAGACAGAAAGGATACGTGCGCCTTGGAAAGTCCTCCCAGCACCTCCATTATTTTACTTGTTTTAGTATCATCTGAGACGATGATGAAGACATCTGCAGGGCTTTTTGCTCTGTTCTTGGTTGGCATCCATAGAACTTGCAGGCTACTTGAGTTTTAACAAGTGAGAATGCACTGAAAGGGTGTTCACGCCCATGGTCAGATCACTTCTCATGGCCAGTTCCTCCACAGACACAGAATTTTTCTGAAGTTGTGCTTCCTCTGATGTCTTTTTCCTTTCTGAATGCACTTTTACCAGGTGACAGTACTCTTGTGAGTTGGAAGTTGACTTGCTTTTGTTACTGCTTACGTTAAGCTCTTCGAAGCGTGTGGAGGTGGGTCTGTCAGCACACAGAAACACTCCACTGCTTTTCAAGGTGATCTTTGCCTGTTGGTTATGGTAACCAAATACTCATTCCTTAGTCTTCGGGATGGCAGAGGTGAATGGAAGAATTGGATGGCATTGACGGTCTTCTCTGTCAAATTGATGGTTTTCTTTGGGGTTCTGTATATAAAAGCATTTATTCCACATCTGTAGGTGACCTCAAATGTGCCACACAACATCCTAGAGCACATGAATGCTTCATTTCCCAGGAATTACCTTCTTTTGTTATTTGGGCACCTTTTTCCCTCTGTTCCGTTTAGCGTTCCTGATGACGATTGAAAGTCAGCTTGCTCTGACCATTTAATCGCATCACTGACCAGCAGATTTTTCCACCCGACTTTAGGGTCAGAAGTGGCTCCTCTGAGAAGACATTGCTGTGAAGATTAAGAAATAGGCTATAAGAGGCAGGGGAAAGAAAGAGGGGGGTTAATCATCTCCTCAGCAGCGACCAGCGCTGCGGGGAGCCCGGGCTGTGCAGTGCCTCTGCAGATGGGCTCTGTCCACCTCCGTGGCAGCAGCACTTCCCTGCTCCCTGGTGCGGCAGAAACTCGCTGGCTGGTTTCTCAGCTGACAGTTTGAAGTTGGGAATTGATGTGTCCAGTTTCCAAATACAGATGGACCAAGTGAGACCCTCATCTGCCTGAAATATTAAAATATTTACTCTGCACGCTTTCCATTTGAGGGGAGCCAACAGTGGGACACAGAAAGGCTTCCTTTAGTCCAGAGCAGCTCCCTGCATACCAGAGAAATGGGGCAAAATCTTGCACTGGTGATTGAAATGTTGCAGCACTGGATCTCTCTCAAGTTTGGATAGCATGTCTCAGTGCCTAACGGGGCAGAACACATGTTACAGGAGCTCGGCTGGCCTGTACCGTTAGCTGTGGTTAAACTTCTGGCTTGCAGAGCGCTGTGCTGATACCTGCAGTTACTCTATAGCATTTGTACTGTTCAGAGTCATTTTCCTAAGTGCCTAATTATATTGCAGTTAAAAAATAAGAAGCCATGACTGCCGCTGTTGATCAAACTGCCAGAGCGAAGTTGATGTGAGCATTTTTTGCTTAGCATTTAAATATCCATGGCTGCAGCTTCCAAGGGTCCTCAGGCCGCTTTCTCTGTTTTAAGTGTATGCAAACACAGTTCTTGAAGAAAGTGTTCACGTTGGGGAGGTAATTCCAGAAGCTGTTTTAATGGACTTTCCGTGGTTTTGCTAGAAAGAGCAGGACTCAGGATGGGGCATAACTCTGTCGAGGTTCATTGCCAGTCTTTGTCTTTCAAGAGGTTTCAGTGTCTGAATGAACCAGCGCTGCTCTAAGCAGAGAAGAGGTTTTTAAAGCTGGGAGGAGAAGGTAATGGCAGGAGGGATCACTTTGGCTTGAGAGTCCTGTGCCAGGGCCTGGCCCACAGCCCGTGTGAGTGATGTGGTGGCCGGCGAGGATTTCCTTACACCTTGTCGGTGGGTATCTTGCTCCTGCCCTTCTCTGGGATGTCCTGAGCTGTGCTGACTCCTGCTAATTGCTTTGCTGAATTAGTGAATCTGTCTGAACTGTTGGCTTCTTGGTGACCTAGACCTAACTCAAACAGTTGTGTACAGGTCTCTGAAATATTTATGTCAGCACGGGCAAGAGAGGGCTGTGAAATACGGCGTTAAGCCACCAGGGTATGCTCGTTTTTGCAAAGCTTGACGTGTGTAATCCAGGAAATAGGAGCCTCATCAGATCAGCACAGATTTGCATGAAGAGAGAAGGCAAATGGGATTTTAAAAACCTCATTTATGCCAGATGAAATGCTTCTTTTCCAGGTTTTTTTTTTTAAATAACTTGTTACTGATGTGCAGAGGGGAAAAATCTCAGCTGTGGAGTCATTATCATCTTCTCTGGCCAGCAACAGGGAGAGCTGCAGGGTGATTACAGCAGGTAGGAAAGCCCATGCAGTCTCAAGAGCGACTGCAAACATTTAGTGCTTGGAAGTAGAGCTATGGCCACTGGTAGCACTCCCTCTGCTTGTTTTCCATCTGACCTCTTGCATACGAGGCTTTTGATACCTTAAATGTATCTCATGCCT